TTTTTTTTTTTTCATTCAGAAAAAAAAAATAAAAAAATTATAGGCTCCAAATGGCCAATGCAAATCAATTGCCAACAAAAAATGTGGTTCATGTTGGTACACATCAATCAATATTCTGTTTGGAACTGCGCCGATGCCTTTGCAGATTTAAGTTAAAACTGTACGGCTAAAACATGTTTACGCGGAAAAACCACGGAAGAACAAAAGCTATTACCAAACACGCCATTAAGAAATTACATAAGGGCTGCCCGTGCAAGCACCTTCGGTTCCCCTCGGGTGGGCTACTAAAAGTATCGGCCAATCGACTCTCATTCCACTCCTCCATAAATCCAGCATCATTTAAAACCGTGATATTCTCGGCAGTCTCGCCACATATTTCACACAATCTGCAAACACAAGTTCAAGGTGAAGTAAAAATTCTCAGTCTCATGACAAATTTTGAAAATGTTACAATCAAGAAAGAAAGTATGAATAACGGTTCGTGAAAACTTGATATGAAAACATAGTATTGACAGAGAACTACTCATTTATAGTCTAATTGTACAAGTGGGAAAAAATGCGTGCCTTTCAAGAGATAACAAGTAGAGAACTTTCATCAATGTGATATCAGCAGGTCTATACAAGTATATACATCATCACTGAAGGGAACACAACATGTTTGAATTTAACGTCCCACTTACTTACAATTTAAATTTCCAAAAGGCATTACTGAAGGGTTGAAGTAAGAGGTTATTCGATCACTTTTATAGCAATCATCAACGATAGAAAAAAAGGAAAAAGAAAAAAAAAAAAAAAAATCTAACCAGAAACCGCGCCTGGGCCGACACAGAATTTTAGCCTAGGGCAAGTGTTGACTGCTAAAAAGAGCTCAACAGAGCACTTAAATTGCCGAAGCTATAAAGTGTCCTAAAAACTCAATTAGAATAGGCACAAACAGAGTGAAAAAAATCGACCCATGTAGTTTTGGTCTTCATTTAGGGATAAATTCTGGACTTTCATCACTTCAAATTTGAATTCCAATTGTATTTGTGTGAATTACTTCTTCTATGAATCGTAAAGTTGCCGAAATTAAATATACAATACTAGGCGGCAGCAAAAGGTGTCTATTGCCGCCTGTTATATTTTTCACACTTGGGCATAACCACATGTGATTCAAATGAGTAGCACTATAAAACATGACATATTTTCTGGGTGTGGAACAAATAATTATCCTAAGCTGCCAAATCATGATAACAAAGAACCTCGATTTTTCGCAAAAAACATGATCTTCTTCCTTGTAATCGTTTCAAATTCTCAAATTCACACGTCATCCAGATACAACACTCAATTTTCACTGCTTCACCTTACATTCATCCTTCAAGCCTTAAACAAAATCACCCATGCCGAGCTCAAGATTCTTTCTTTTTTACGGTTTATTCGTAGATTACAAAAACCCACTATATATGAATGGACACAATCAACCAGAAGAACAAAATCGAGACCACCTTCAAAAAAAATTGAATGACAGTCGAAAATTACCTGTTCCCCTTCAATCTAAACCACGCCTCGGCACAATGTGAATGGGCAACGCCAAGCTCCCCTTTACATCCGCAGCCGAGCTCGATCAACTCAGGCGAGGTCTTGCCGCTCTCCTTGGCACTCAAATGGCATATTCTGCAGATTCTCTGACTGTCCCTCTTGACGTCGATCACAAAAGACGAGCGCCGTTCATCTCCAATAACATCCCTTTTCGCAGCCTCGTCCGAAGCATTTGGTTTTAAATTCGAATCGGAGATCCCATCGTCCCCGATAGCGATCGCAACCTCAGGAATCCTCGAACCACCGCCGGCGGCGGCGGTGGCAAATTGTTCTGCACCCCGGCTGATTTCTCTCATCGCTAGATCCATAAACCCTAATCAATTACCCTTTTCACTGTGTACAAAAAAAATCAAAATTGGGAAAATCCCAAGAAAAAAAAAATGATTTTTATGGCGATACAGAGAGAGGGGCGAAGCTCGTGAAGCCTATATGTGTTTTTGTTTTATTCTTCACAAATTTCGCTCTCTGCGGAGAGTTGACTTGTAGTACATCGACTGTGTACATAAACTACTGTTCAAGCTCTCTCTTTTGCTCTCATATGGAGTATTTTTTTTATTCAATTTTCAAAGGTGAATATAATACATTAATCGAAACAAGCGTGTGTAGAGATGATGATGGTGGTGGTGGTGGGTTTCCATAAAACGGGAGGAGTACGACTTAGTATGCAATTCCAAGGAAAGACGATTTCTCTCTCTCTCTCTCTCTCTCTCTCTCTCTCTCTTTTCTTTTTTTTTT